TTTTAAATTTTAAATTAAGTTTTAATTAATAAAATAATTTAATTTAATATTAAAACTCTAATTTATTGTAAAAATCAAAGTGATTATATATTTTTTCCTTTCATGTTAGACTGCAGTTTAAAAATATAGGTTTAATACCCAATTTGGTCCCTAAACTTTCATTTCGAAACTTAGTTCATCCTTTAACTTCAGAAGGGACCCAAACTATCCTTAAACTTTATTTTTTTAGAACCCAAATGGTCCTTCCGTCACAAAAGTGCCTAGGTAGCACGTTAACTTGTCAAGAATTAATACTTTTATTTCAAAAAATTTATGTGGAAAAGAAAATAATGATTTAATCATTTTAATAAATTTAATAGAAAAAATATACAATTAAAATATTAACCCTCCCCTTATCTTCAACCCCCATCCCTCCCTGCCATTTTTGTTATTTCCCTATTCTCTAGCACCGACATCAACACCAATCCAGTGGCATCATTCTTTCCCTTTCTCATTTTTCTCTCTACTCTCCACCCTCCTCTTTCCTCCTTCCTCATTTCCCTTTTCTTTCCCTTTTCTTTCCCTTTTTTTTCTTTTTCCTTTTCTTTTCTAGTTGGGGTTTAGAACCCATATTGGGATTGGGGTGAAGAAGATAAGAGAAAATGCTGAGAACAACACTCCTAGTTGCATCGTCTTCTTCTTCGACGCATTGTCTTTCAGTTTGCAAACCTTCAATGCGGTCGCTGTATCTGAACTTCTCTTTTGTTCTCATCAATGGCGACGATACCAGTGCCTCCAACAGTAACAATCCTTCTCGAAGACTCACTCTCTTTCAATTTGGCATCGGTGAGCGATTTTTTTGTGGCTTTATATACTTAAATCCTTTGATAGAAAAGTAGATTTTGTTTTTTACTTGAGGATTGCAATGGAAATTTGTGTTTGGTTGCTAAGAAACTGTGGAAACTAGAAAGGAAAATGAACTTATTAGTAGTATGCCCTAGGTTGGCTTAATTCCTCAATATTTTTGCTGCATTTTTGTTTGAAGTTGTGTGGAGCTGATGCAGCGAAAATGGAGTCGAATTGGCGCTTCTATCGACTGAGATCTTAGCCAATTTTAGCTTTTTTTGTCCCTTTGCAATGAGTATAGCAGCTTGCAAAGGAGTTATTCTCCTGATTTGGTTGAATCCCCAACTTATAAAACCAAACGATTCTAGAATTCATTTATGTAATTATTTTATGCGGATGCCAGATTCGGCTTTAAACGATCTTAACGAAGATATTCGCGGTGAAGAAAAAGGCGCGCGGCCGAGACTCGAGCAGACGGATCGTTGATGAAAGCATGATCGTTCTTCAAAAGAGGATTCATAAGATGAAGATGATCGAGAGGAACTACGAGCTGCCTGCGGACTGGATGGATTGGGAGAAACGTGTCTATACGAGCTACGATTCGATGATTTGCAAGATCATGGGAGTGTTGTAGTCGCAGTTGATGAACACTCGCCCCAGTGTCACATTGGGGATGATGGTCTTGATTGCGCTCAGCTTGCCGATCTCTACCGCCGTGGTTTTCTCTCAATTGACGGAGATGGCTAAGGGGATTTTGGCCGCTGGCATTGATGTTGTATTTCAAGAAATTGAAATTACAAAATCATCATTTTTTTTTTCACGTAATTTTTCTAAAATAAAAGTATTAATTCGTGGCAAGTTAACGGGTCAGCTGGGCACTTCTGTAACGGAAGGACCATTTGGGTTCAAAAAAATAAAGTTTAAGCATGGTTTGGGTCCCTTCTGAAGTTAAAGGATGAACTAAGTTTCAAAATGAAAGTTTATGAACCAAATTGGGTATTAAAC